TTGGAAAAGGGAAGACGGTATACACCCAGATTGATGGATCCAATCACGGCCGAGTAATACGTTGTAGTTGACGCTTGATTCGACCACGTAGAAGGCCGCGACTCTCGTCTGATCGGCCACGGTAATCTTTAAGGGCAATACGCCAATGGTTTTTGACTTATCGCCGACAAAACTACTCATGACCACGTCGCTGGGGATGAGGTCCTCCTTCGACTTGTCCAGCTTTCTCATCAAGGAATAGGGAAGGATGTTGACCGTCGCCCCACAGTCAACGAAAACCTTGGATATGGGCACAACCTCTATGTGAGCCGAGATATACAACGGCTTCAAGTGCCGGTATTTGTTCGGCTCGTCTCTTGGTGTTACTTCTTTAAATGCTACGGCCAGCAATTCCTCCGACTCCTGCGGGTTTCCCCTACCGTCTTTGGCGAGAGCCGTTTCCTCGACCATCCCGAGGATTCCCTCATATTCTTCATCGGAGATTCCTATTGTGGGGTCGTCCTCGGCCTCGTGTCCGAAGAGAGGATCTCCGAAACCCTCGTCCATAAGCCTCACGGTCCTCGGACTATCGGTTGTAGGCGCTTTGACCTCAGGGGGTTCTGAGGTTTCGACCTCCATTTCGAGGGTCCGTCTGGCCTCTGCCAATGCGTCCCTCGCTGCTAGGTAATCGTCTAGGCGGCTCACTCGGCCCTTTTCCTCAGTCGTCAAACCAAAGAACGTGTCCGTCGGCGTCACAGCAAAGTACCGGCGGAGATAATCCAAATCGCCCATGCTGAAGGGGATTTTAGCCTCTAATCCGCCGAGGTTGGGCTGGTAACTTTGTAGGCCTCTTGCCCTGGACTCCCTGTTCGCCTGGTATACGGCCTTAATGGCCGAGTCAGAACCGCTGGTGATGAGGAGCGCTTCTGCCTTTGTGTTCTTGAGGGCCAATTCTACGATTTCTCGGCTCTCAGGGGTCATACCGTACAGATCCACGGCCGAATGATCTTTATGGAATTCTCTGAGGAAGGACAGACCGTTGGCCGAAAAAGGAGGATCCCTCCCGTGGTAGATGTCGACGACAACCTCGTCCGTCCCTTCCATGACCGCGGCCTTCGGCTGGGCTGAATTGGTCGACGAACCACGGGGACTTCCGTCTT